TGATCTTGCTCAGTGGCAATCAGCTTAACTGGAAAATGAGAGACTCCTTGCCCACGTGCTTGTACCTGCTCGCTCTCACCTGGGATGAATTGCTTCTGCTGGTGTCTTTCTCCTTCTTAGCCAAGCGCTTTTTCTTCTTGTGAAGAGGTTTGGATTCTAGGATCATTTCTTCCAGTTCAAAGGTTGGGTCACAGTTGAGTCTGCCTTTCTGGAGAGGAGAGGGGCGCCATGAAGTGACCAGAGCCTGTCCTGAAGAGTCTCTGGACTGCCTCCAGGAGCTGAATTGTGCAAACCCGAGCTGAACCCACAGTTCTGCACACACAGGGTACCCGCTGCACTGCTGCCGCCTTCCATCATCCCTTCAGCCAGGGCACACTGCCGAGGGCTGACAATAACCGCTTCATGCTCCCTGCTTCTGCTCTGCCTTTTGGCTGCTTTGAACTGAGGGATGGTGTGGCTGTGCTGGGGAGGAGTGCAGCAGCAGCCTGCAGACCTGGCTTTAAAGCAATGCATGTGCACCCACCACAGGGAAAACCAGCTACAGAGGGGGAAAACACATGCACGTAACAAATGTGCGTAGTTTAGCCCAACTTTTGTTTGGCTGAAAACCAGAGTAACACTGCACCCACAGTCTGATTATTTTCCATAAGGGTTATGTTACTTCTGTGTTTTCAATCCAATTAAAAAAGGATCAGAAACTCTAATCTACTGCACTTGTTATTTTACTACAAAGAACGGGCTTGTTCAGGAGAGCCATCACAGGAAAAAACAGTTGTCCTGAACCGGTGGGGGATCTCCAGGCTGCTCCCGAGCCTGTGCCTGGTGACTGCTCTTTGCCTTTCCAGAGCAGGTCCGAAGCAGCTAAGAAAGGCTGCTCAGCGCAGGTTGCTCACGAAGGCTGTCAGTGTGTGCTTCACCTGCTGGGCACAGTTCTGCATCCAGAAATGCTAAACAGAGCAGATCAGTTCTGGGGCACCCTCACTTTGTAGTCAGTCCCCATTACTCCTTATTACACACACAGGAAGGTGGAAATCCTGCCCATGCCTCTCTTTCCCCTATCCCTTGTGACATCTGATGCTGTTGTGGAAATCTGTAAGGACTCCCATGATCTGGTGCCTGGCGCGAGGACAGACTGCAGCCTGTAACACATAGAAGTCCAGCTCCTTACCGTGGGAATGAATTCTGGCATTATCCTTTTCTGGAGAACAGCGTCCCAGTTCACGTCTGACAGGTACGGGAAGTCCTGGATATCTTTCAGCTGAGAAAAACGCTTCTCAGGGTTCAGCTCAAGCAACTGCAGTGAGAATTAAACAGAAGAGGTGAGATGTGAGATAAGAGATTGTGCTGGGGTCCAGCAGCCCGCTGCCATCCCAGTCGGACACTCAGACACTCTGCTGGATGGACTCAGGACACACAGCACCGGTGACACTGCATCAATGCTGCCGCTGTGACTGGTGCCTCCTCTCTTGTTCTGGCTCAGATACCCTTCACCAGCATGTGAGAGGGGCTCACAACCTTTAACTCTTGTTTTTATGAACAACCTTTATCCCCATTTCAGGCAATGAGGCAGTGCAGTGACATGAAACAGCTTATCCAAGGTTAAAAAGGTTTCAGAATGGGGAGTTAAAGTTACGCCTTTGTATCTACAATTTAATACTGTATCTGTAAACATCCTCTGTTTTCTCACTCTAGTAATGGAATATTCATAAGTGTCATTCCCATGTGAAATAATGCGTTCACACAGCTTATTTTGCCCTAGGAATTACTTGTGTGGAAGGAAATAATTGAGGTTTGTCTCTGTTCAAGGACTCGGTTTCATGAACCCCTGGTAATACACACTCCAAAGATGTAGCAGGAAACCCAGAGGATCCAAACGCCCCGGGAAGGGGTGGATGAGGAGCCCCCAGCCCCTGTCCTGTGCCGGGTCAGGCAGCCAGCGCCACGCTCCTGTCCCTGCAGTTCATGCCCTCTGCAGAGCCCTGTGCTCCTGTCCCAGCGTCCATAATGCAGCTCTGCTGCAAGTGAGAGCTTGCCTTGAACAGTCACAAATATAGCTGGGCCGGAAGCACAGCTGGCTCATGTCTAACACATCTGGCTGCTGAACCCACTGCCACGGGGCCCTTGGAAATCTAAATAACTGAGGCATTGCATTATTCATTCACACGGGAGCCTGTACGGCTTGTGGTGTGTCATGGGCTGGGCAGATGCTTCCAACATAACAACACAGAGGATGTCTGCAGTAAATACCCCATATTACTGCTAGGCCTAATAAAATATTAGCTCCATTTAATTTTAAGCAAATGGACATATTCTTCAATTCTTTTCTTGGAAAATATGCCATGGTTCTGTCTCAGCAAAGAAATGACGTCTCATTTTCATGAAAAAGTTTGAGAGTATTTCATTAGAGATGACAAAATATTTCTACAAAACATTTGGAGCAAAGGCCAGATGAAAGCTGCAGTAAGTGCTACTTCATTTGAAAATTTGAAAGCCTGCATTTGAAAATTAGAAAGCTACTTACATACTTTCCAAAACTTGAAGCTAATGCTGTTACGCAGTGTTCACTATTCCAGCTTTGCTGCCACTGTAAGCAAACAGTGTCTGACACTGTCAAGCCATAGTTTTGTTTATTGAAGATGTGGCTTCACTTCAAACATGATTCCAGCTTCAAAATGGTTCCAGTAATGATTCTGAAGAAATTTTGATAGCAGCTTTATTAAAAACTAATTGCAGTGGTGCATAAGGCACATGGCACCAAAGGATTTCAACAGTACCAGCACTTCTTGCAAGTCTTTTAAATACTGGGAAAAATATGGGGTTTTTTAAATAAAAAAGGCAGGTTTTTTTGCCAGATTTATTGACACATATATTAATATCTATTTCTATGGTATGTCATTCCAGAGAGACAAAGTTATAGGAGAAAAATGAAACCAAAGTCTGCCTGTGTCATCAGAGGAGCCACATTAGCAGCAGCCATGCCTGTCAGCACAAACTCCATCCCTGTCAGTCCAGGATGCAGCAGTGCCAGCTGGTTACTGTATTAGTGCAGCTGCAGCATAAGAAGCTGGACATTTACCACCTGAAGGTCGCCAGCACTGGGTCTGGACACAGTTTGCAATGACTGCAAGGCTGCAAAGCACGATGAAAGGCTCAGTGCCCAGGTACAGGCAGCCCTGAGCCCTCCGCTCCCACGCTGTCCTCACCTTTTTGATGAGCAACACCATGTCCGTGGACCATGCTGCAGGGTACATCACTGTGGTGGTCCTGAACACGTGAGCAATTTCATCTGTGGAAGTGTTGGAGCGAATGTGATACGGCCTCTGGGAAAAGTGCCACCAAGAAAGCGTTTTAATTTATCTGGGTTTTCAGACCCCTGGGGAAATCTTTTTCAGAGCAAAGAAGCTTCAAATGAAGCCTCTTTGTAGATCCCCATCCTCCCATTGAAAGTCTCTCCCTGTGTGATCGCAGCACAGTCGAAATAAACAAAATAATAATGTCAGCAAGAACTGTGGCAACAACCAGATACTTAAACAGCAGGACAGGAGGGAGGCAAAACCCAAACCAGCACTTCTGCTCCCATCCCTGGAAACAGGGCCATCAAGTCAAAAATCAATGTGATGAACAGCCCTGCCATTCACTTAACATTACAAATGGAAAACTCACGTGTTACGTTAATATGTTCACAGGGGCACACTGCCTCCATTACCCAACAGGTCAGACAACCGTGTCCCCTTACTGTTCACTAACTTGATCACTCACCATTTGAAAATCTGTTCTTTAAAATATATTAAGGCATTTTATAAAGCATTCTGCAAAGACTGATGACAGTGTTTCTTAAAAGCCTATTCTACATAGCCGTACCCGAAGCAGTCTCCTATCCTCACAGGATTTTAAACACCTTTTGCTTAGAAGAGTGCAATTTGAATAATTCTGTCCCTCTTTTTTCACACAGCACTTCCAAACTGCAAATCTCATCATCTGCCTACACAGCTCCCAACCTTAGCAGAGTTAGCAGCAGAGCACTGACATGGCAGGCAGGGATTGTTCTTTATTCATTTACATGTTGCAGCTTGCTTTTGCTCAAACTGCTCAATCTTATTACAACAGCAATGAAATTTGTTTTCCAAGTGTTTTTTTTCCTGTAGGATGGGAGCTCAAAGTAAATTATACTGCAGCCCAGACTAGAAGAGTTGTTGCTCGTTTACCTGGCCCAGCTTACACCAACTCAGAGGCCCTTAACTGCAGCAGGGAGCTGTTGTGACATGCTATTCTGTATCGCGACAGTTCCTCTGAGCTCTTAGCTGTGATCACAAGAACCCTGGTGAAGATGTGGTTCTGTTTCCTATACTGTGATAACCCTGGAAGCCTGGAATTTGCCTTGGGTCTTTCATCCCTGTTCTAAAGCATTAACCTTTCCAACAGAGTGTTTAAGGAAAGGAAGGGATGGATGGATGGATGGATGGATGGATGGATGGATGGATGGATGGATGGATGGGGACAGGAGCTGCATGCACAATACCCTGGTCCGGAGCAGCTCATAGGCCGTGATCCCCAGTGACCACCAGTCCACAGCAAAGGAATAGCCGGTGGGTTTTGTGGAGTTAAACATCTCAGGTGCTGCAGAACACAGAAAAAGGAAGGTTTGCTTTGCTGGTGTCTCAGGTGAGGCACCAGAACGCTTGATGTGTGCCCCAGAGAGCAGCCCTGCGGTTCTACCAGGACACAGATTCACACATTTCCCTTCACCACACCTTTGCAGCTTTTGAGTTCAAAACAGTGGCAGCGCTGGCAGCTCAGTCCTGCACGGAACACCGCAGAGGTGGACCTGGGCCAGAACACACATGTGTCCTTGCAGCAATTCACCTTCCAGTCATGTCAGGTTCCTCGGCTGCTGTCCCGGCCGAGAAACGTCCTGCACTGAGGTGCCTCAGTGTGAGGGAAGAGCTGACACCCATGGGTGCAAAGCCCCGAATCTCCCACCCTGCCCTGTGCAGTGCAGCCGCTGCTCCTGCTGCTCCCACCGGCCCCGAGTCCTGCCTGGCACCGAGCACTGTCTCGGTGTGAGCCAGCCTGACCCAGTGCCCCGGACGCCAGCTTGGCCCGGACACTTGCCTGCCATGGGAACAGATACACCTTGAAAACGTGACCCTGCTGCCCGACCCCGCGTGCGATGGGCACAGCACGGAACACCTTCCCCTGTGCTCAAAGCCAGTGTTGTGGCTCCTCTGTGCCTGCTAACAGGGGAGGGGTGGAGGCACAGAAGGAAATGGGGATTTTTAGCCAATAAATTTCCCTCTTGACAGTAAGGGGAAAAAAATGCAATGGGATTTTGATGTGAGCTGGGGGCAAGACTTGCTCTAAAAAACCCTAAACCAAGAGCAAGGCCTTTTTTAGTGCATGTTTCCTTTTTAAAAGGACTGCACCTGTGATGCAAAGGTGGGAGGTCAGCTTGGTCATTGGATAAAAAGGGGACTCCCAGGAGATTGCCCTCAGGGATTCAGCTATGTAGTAGCTGCAGGGAGGCTGTGTTTTCTGTTACTCAGCTCTCAGAGGCAGCATTGCTGCGTATGAAAGTGTGTAACTTCTGTGGGAGTTGTGTTGGTTGTATAGAAATGGTTTTGAGTGTTTTTGCTTTAGTTAGAAAACTTCACCTTACAGTTATAGAGACCTTTCTGTGTTGTGTTTGCACAGCTTCTTTCAGCCTCAGCTCAGAATATTCCTCTCTGGCCCATTACCTGCCTTCTCCAGCCCTGATTCCTCCCAGGTATGTCGGTGTTATTTTGCTTTATGCTTATTAACTGTGCTTGTGTAAAAAGTATGAAGTGGGGCTCTTGCTGATTTAGACAGTAAGTGACTATAAGTCAGTTTTCTGTATTCCTCTCAAAGAGTGGAAAAGAAAAATGCACATTTGGAGTACCAGAGAGACAGGGTCTGCACTGGGAGCAAGGGCTCTGTGTGTGATGATTGCTTATGAAAACTGTTCCTGCACATTTGGAGTACCAGAGAGACAGGGTCTGCACTGGGAGCAAGGGCTCTGTGTGCGATGATTTGCTTATGAAAACTGTTCCTGCAGCTGGCCAAAGGCTGCCATGGAGGCATCCACTCGCTCCAGAGTCACTTTGCCCCAGGATTGCCCTCCTGTCCTGCTGCTGTCCTTGGGTAGAGGTTAGAGCTAAAGTCTCACCCATCTCTCCCTGGTACTAGCAGTGCTCTCCACTGTGGCAGCCTGACACCAGGACATGGGTCCTCCCTGCATGCTGAGCGATTCTGTGGCCTGGGAAACCAGCCAGTCCTACTTCCACCGCTTGGTCTGACCAACATAATGCTAGTTTTTTAAGCAGCCAGTTTATATAAAACTTCAAATTATCACTAGTGATGCAGTAGTGTAAGACTTGTGCTGGTGTACTGAGGGACCAAATACAAGCCTCTGTGCTTCTTTTCCTTTGCAAGGGCAGCAAGAGCATTCCACCATCATTACATGGCTTGACTGCTGCTTGTGAAATGCTCTGAGATCTCACAAGTGCAACTGTCTTCTGTTGTAATCAAAACCATGCTGTACAGTACGGCACAGTGGCTCTAAAATCTGCTAGCAGCTTGCTTTGGTCTGTTGTATGCAATCAGTAGATGTATGTATGCATGTTTTCCAGCTGCATCAGCGTGTTACTGGGGAGGGATTCCTGTCACGTTGCCCTGCAGCACCTCTTTGGCTTGTTTCTCACTTCCAACAAATGTATTTTGCTACATACTGGGGGGAAAAGAGAGTTTGAACTCTCACCAAAAAGGACTTGACCTGTTTCCCACCACAGCTGCCAAATGAACGCCATAAAATGGCAATTGAAGAACACCCAATTGCCAGTGGTTCTTACCCATGTAAGGCTTTGTGCCAGCGATGGTGGTGACTTGTATTTCCTTAGTCAGCATTGTGGCAATATTGAAATCAGTGATGTGCACGTGTCCTGAAAGACAGAGGTTAACATCTTACTTGATTAGCTTTTATTTCACAGATAAACAGCTTTGAATCAACCTCTAAATAAAATACTCCATGGAAAAGAGTTTCCAGGAGCAAAATATTTTGGTGGAAGAACTGGTGTGTTTCAGCTTGCAGGAAGCAGCTCACAGATGTGTCTGGTTACATCAAATATCCCCTTAGCTACCTTTTGGGAGCAAAACAATGGAGTTCTCCAAGAAGCTGTTAAATGATGGTTGGTTTGAGGCTTCCTAAATCTGGGGGGAAGGAGAACTGACCTTCTCACAAAGAAAAAATTCCATCATTTTTTTGGGGGGGGAAATCCTTGATATTTTTGGCTTTCTATCTACAGCCCTTTGGGGTTCCCAGGTGTTAAGCACTCTCCATTCTCATCTTTAGAGGATGTCTCTGGAATGGAACAGATGCTTTTGCTCCAAGCAAAAGAGCCTTGTGCAAGAAATTCAAACATCATCAAACCCTCCACTGGGTGTAGGAACGGTTTCTGCTATCACTGCTACCTGGAAACAGGAAAGGAAATATGGGGTGGATGTGACCTGCAGGGGTGAGAAGGGAAATGCTTCCACCTAGTTCTTGCCTGCTCTTCTACTTCCACTTATTTTTTCCAAGCACTTACATTTATTATTCCTTATTCCCTAAACTCGCATCAGTGAGCATAGCAGTCATGCAGAGCAGTGCAGGTGATCAGTATAAGGCTGGCTTCACTTCGCTGAAACTTGTGGGTTAGTTCAGCCCAATTCTTCTGATCAGATGCAGGTGGTTTGTTCTTCCAGACCTCATCATCCTCCCAGGCACTGAACTTGCTCACCCTGACAAAGGTGGGCTCATCTCAGGTCTTTTGTACCTGGTGTTTTGCAGAGTCATTGCCTTCCTCTGCAGTAACAGAGGGTGGCTGAATTGCTCATTTCCTCTAACCACAGAGATCAAATTAAAGTGGCTTCTACTGACTGAGATGCTACAACACTGCCCTCAGTTGTTAGCTTCAACAGCTAGAAATTCACTCTTTTTGTTCATGAGGTAAATAGAGTAAGATCACCTTTATGTGTCTGAAAGTTGATGCTTTGCCAATGAACTCCCGTTGTCTCTTCTGGATGCTATGAAGCATTTAAGTAAATCTTTAGGTTTGTGTCTACACGCGTGTTATTCAAGAAGAGTGATACAGGTTTGCCTGCTGCAAATACCTGATGTAGCTGGGGAAAATCTGGGGAATAAAAGTTAAATTCATGATTTCACCTAAAAACGCTGTCAGGGCTCACTTCTCACATGGTATCTGATGGATCTGTCAGGGCGCATGTTCCTCCTTGTTGCTTAAACTGTGTCTGCTGCTAAAGAGCAGGTAGCAATCACTAGGGAGTACTTGAGAGGAAAGAATGATACACAACTGTCCTGACTGGATGTGTCCTCTCTGTCCTTGCATTGTTTCCTTTCATCTCTAGATCTTATTCCACATTGTGGGGAGCTGTTTTCATACAGATGAATCACAAAGACTTGTAAAGAATTTGCTATTCCAAGCACAGACATGCCTTTCTCTGAATGTCTCTTTTAAACTGTTAACTTCAAATAAATCACTGGTTTTATGAACCAGCTCACTTGGGAAATGACCAAACCAAGCCGCTGGGACCGAGCAGGGAGGCTGCAGACGGTGCGAGCAGGCGGAACAGAGACTGCGGCACTGTGGAGCGGGCGGGCTGAGGGATGCGATGGGTGCCTCTGCCGGCGTTCAGTCAGGGCTTAAGAATCATGTTTTCCTGAGTGCTCAGCACCTCTGAGTACAGCCAGAGCTGTGCTCCAGGCACTGCATCCTTCCCAAGCTCATCCTGTCTGTCTGAAGCTTTCGGACCAGGCCTGTGGTTCTGCAGTGGGGCAAAGAACTTTCTTACTATATTCAGCAGCTCTTACTACGTAATTCTGTCATCTTCCCAGATCATCTTTTGAACAAAAAATACAAAGCTTCTGCAGATTCAACTAAGGTGTTGTTTTAAAGAATATGAAAACAGAGACATTAGGAGCTGCAGAGTATGGAGGCTCTTGGACAAACTGTACTGTAGCATTCTTAGATGAGAGCAAATGGGCTGTGCATGCAGTGCCTGCATTGGCAGGAATTTGTCCATTTTAGCACTGCCCTCAAGAAATAATACTGAGCAAAGGCATTACAGGGCTCTGGAAAAACAAACAAACAAACAAAAAAACCCCTCTCAGTTTTAGTAGAGATAAAACTGAGCTTTCCTTCAGCTTTATTAGGCAAGTGACATAGCCAAAACCTGCTGATGAAACAGTCACAATTCTTGGAAACTGCCATCTCTTATATTCTTTTATTCTCAGGTGAGCTATGCTGTCAGTGAGCCAAATCGACTGCTCATTACAGGAGGAAGCCACTTTGTGCTTGGAATGATCGCTGAAGGTGGTCAGCAGCTGAGGATTTTTCACTGTGGGACCTGATCCCAATTGCTGATGTTGAACAATTGCTTTATTTATTGCACAGAAAGACAGCTGCCTACTATTCCACTTTATTTATTCCTCACTTTAATTTCTTAGCTGAAAGTACTATGCTAATACAGAATGTCTCCAAACAGGGTGACAGAGGCAAAGGCATAAGGTGTGTGCCAAGTTCATGACACAGGAGTCACAGCTGGAGAGGTACTTCCCAGCTGGAAAGGAGGAAGAGCCAAAGGACAGAGTTAGGGGGCAAGAAGAGTCTAACAATGAAGGGCTGAAGTCTGATTGCTGAAGGTCTTCAGGTGCTTAAATACTCCCTGGGGTCCGGTCTCAATCAAGAACATTATAAAGAACTGATGTTGGCAGATAGCGTGTGTTTTGTAATCGTGAAACATCAGTTGTGAAAACCTGGTGAATGCTGAAGAGGGAGAATGGGGAGCTGCAGCTCTGCCCCATGGGGAAAGAGATGCTGGAAAACAAACACAATCTAGGCTAATTGTAGATGAAAATGTCACAATAACAGTTGCTGTGGGGACAAGAAAAAAATTGAATTGTGTGTACACAAAGCTTTCTATATGCATGAGAGGATGCACCTTTGTTGCCATGGATGAAGAAGAGAAATACTACAAGTCATAGTCAGAAGGACACTGAAGTCAGGGGTAAATCCACACAAACTAACTGAAACCTCTGCAGCAGACAGTTAAACCACCATAGTGAGCAGAGAATAAGTTCAAAATCAGCCTAAATTGCAGTGTCATTACAGAAGTTTGCAGGTTACATCCTGCTGAGCTGAATGCAACTGCAAAGACAAGCCTCTGTTTCCCTCCCCTTTGGGAATGCTGCCCTATGTTTCTGCGGTTCTAGTGCTCCCAGATCCCTCCCTGGTGGCCTGTCCCCCCCGTCCTATGGGGCACAGAGGCTCTCGGGAGATGGTGACAGAGCACCCGCGGCTGGGGCTGATCCCGCACCGGGCCGAGCAGGACCCCGCGGGAGGGGCAGCAGCGAGGCCGGGCGCAGCTCTGCTGGCGGCTCCGCAATAAATCATGAGCCAGCGGAGGCGAGACGGGGAGAGCCCGGGCTCGGGCGCTGCCGGGCAGCCCTGGTCACACGCGGCAGCCGCAGCCGCTCCTCTGGAGCTTCAGCATCTCCATTACAGCCTCTGAAGCGATGACATTTCTAAACTAAGGCTAAAGGGGGAAATAAAACAACATCTCTTGTATCCCCCACCTCAAATCCTCTCTGGAGCTCCCTCCCAAAGTCAGATGCTCAAGGGAAAAGAAAATACCTGAATCCCTGAAAAGGATTATCTGTTCAGCCATGATTCATTCTATTTGTGAGCCTACATCACACCCAGCCTGCAATTACATGAGCATTTCTATTCAAATGATTATATTTTGAGAAAGTTTAAAGCAAGAGCCATGAAGGTCTTTAAATAAGGTCTGCGAGGCAACCGACCACAGGCACACAGAAAATGTTGGTCTTGGGATGCTGTCAGGTCAATCAGTCTGAGGAGGTGTGGATGACTCTGAGGCACCCTCATAAACATCACTGCATCACAGGGTGCCCAGTGCCCTGAAGGTACAAGGTGCTGCCACTCAAAAAGCAAAAGACAGCAACCAAAGCATGGAAGGATGGTCCTGGTCCTGTCTGAGCTGAGACTGAGCAGCACAAAGTGAGGAAAATTGACAACCTGAACTTCACCTTGGATGTCCTGGTCCTGACTCTGCTTTTCTGCATATGCACGACCACAAAGCAAGTGACACTTACCATGCTCATCCAGTAAAATGTTGTCAGGCTTGATGTCTCTAAGAGAAAAGGCAGAAGAGAGACAGCCATTAGCCTAGAGAAGTGACATGGAGCATGGCTGCAGATGCTTTAGGAAAGCCCAGGCTCCAGAGGGACTCACTTCCAGAGACACTGGGCCTGAGAAGGTGCCTTTGCTGGGGCTCTTCAGTTCTGATATTCCTGCAGGGTTTGATTTGGGCATAAGAGAACGACTAGTCAAAGAGCAGAAGCAGAGGGGTGGTTCAGGGCTATGGCTGTGATGGCTGCTGTGGTTTGGACTAGCAGCACTCAGGCAGTCCACTGACAATGTTGGAGCTTCTATTCTCTTTCTTCTCCTGTTAACTTTGTAACTTCTTTCAGTACTGTATGTTCCCCATTTACTAAATAAAAATGCAATTATTTCAACATCTTTGTTTAGAAACACATGGGTCCCCACAGGTTTTGGTCCCGAGTTAAAAGCAGCCAACAAACAAAACCCAAAGTAATAATACCTATTGCAATGCTTTCCCTTGAAGGGACAAAGCGTACACCTGATATACCTACTGTATCCACCTGAGTGACTTTACAAGACATTACCTGGTTTTAATGAGCTCATTACATCAGTCCCCATTCACCCGCTCTCAGGCACCTGGCAGCTGAGCATCATGCATGGGCCAGACGCAGACCCTGCACTGCCCTGGTGCCCTGCCAGCCCAGAGGAAGGAAATGAGCAGGTTTAGGATCTTATCTTTAAGAATGCAGTCACTGAGATAGAGTTTGAACTCACCCACCCCCCTGGAACCAGGAAAAGACATCTCACCGCCGTGTATCGCTTTCTGTTCTCTGGTATCTTCTCACCAAAACTACTCCAGTGGGTTCTAAATAGCAGTCCCCTTCCTTGTGCCACCCCAGCACACAGGTAAGCACAGGGACCAGACTATCAAGAGTTCAGGTGGCCTCAGGTATGCAGCTGGTTTTCCTTGTCAGTGCAGCAAAGCTGCCTCAGGTTAGAGCCAAACAGCCCAGAGGGAAGGAAGCTCCATATCTGACCATGAAAAATGGGGATGCCACGCTTGGGAGAAAACACTGACTTAAGCAACAGCTTTAGGAAACATTTCAGCAAACAAAGTTTGGAAAAAAATGGATTCTTTGAATCCCCTGGTAGAAAAGCGTGTTCGAATTTTCGAAATGAAACCACAAAGGTTTTCGTTTTGAATCCAGCTTTCAATCTTCTTTTAATTATTATTGTTTTTCTTTCCACTGGGGCCTTTTCTGATCTCAGTCTGGTGTGAAGCCTATGGACTTGCACCAGCACTGTGAGATCCTTCCCATGATGCAAACAATGAACAGGGATAGTTTTGTTTATTGACTATTTGCATATTTGTTTTTTATAAACTAATTACGCCATTTCCTACCCTGAAAAAACAAAGAAACGTTTCCCACTCTTCTGCATGCAAGTGGGAAATAATTCCAACCATTGATCTGTGTTTGCTGTCTCTGCACAGCTTTGTTCAGACAAAACAAGCAAACACTTGCCTGTCTCCTCCTTACAGATGTTGCAGCCCAATTGACTCAGCACAGTCACTTTATCAATCTACACCTGTCCCACTGGGTTACAGTGGTAATTAAACTTGCACTCAGTGTTAATTAAATAATTTGCAAATTTGACCAACTGCCATACATGTTCTGGTGTGCTTGATTCGCCTTAAGCATGTAGAGCTGCTTGAAGTACACACTGCGGCCTGAACTTTAGCTTTCCTCACCTATGTTTACAGCTTGGAATGGGGACTGGAGCCCCAGGCACCCTGTGCTCCTGTAGCTATCATGTCTTTCATCATTATGATGATCATCGTTATCATCATCATCCTTCAGACTTATTCTTACAACACTGAGCCTCTAGCCCTTCAGTCCTATAAACGGTACTACTAGTTCTAATGTATTACTAATAGAGAAGGATTTCTTCTCTGTTCTTCCTCATGCCTGTGCCCCACTCAAATAGTTCAGGCCAAGCCAGCAGCAGGATTTACCCCTCGCTACCCAGGACAGAGACAGCGAGGCTGCATTTCACGGTGTGTAATTCATGCTCATGCATTATTTGGTGCGGGTGAGCAGATGCCAGCACGACGTCCCTGTCACCACACACCAGAGCACGTCCCAGGGCGGCTGGGAGGCTGGGATCAGGTGCATCAGGGTAGAGATCTGTGCAGGCACAGAGCAAGCCAGCAGCACAGGACATGGGACTCCTGGAAACCAGGAGCTGCCCCAAGCAGGGCCGGCTCCAGCACATACAGCAAAACCCCGCTGGTGCCCTGGGCTCTGCACAGTGCCCGGCAGCCTCCTGCTTCCACACCTCAAAGCAGCAGCCAAACGCCACGGGCATGAGCAAGCCTCAGTCTTCATCTGCCCTTCCACAGTGCGTTCCTTCCCTGACAACCAGGATCAGTTTACATCATGTACCGTGCTTTGTCTTTACATCTCACAGAAATGTGCTTCTAAAGTGATACTTTTAAATGGGATAATCTTCTTCCCAGCTTTACTAAACCCCTGCTGGTCCCTCCCTCTTCACACTCCCTGTTAGCAGGCACTAAGTCAAAACTATGGAGGACCCCTGAGGTTTGCACGGCCCGGTTCACCAGCAGGAGGCAGTTGCACATCCATCCCTCCATCCATCCATCCATCTGGAGCTGACCCTGCCTCTCCAACCAGGGAAAAGCTTTGCCTCCTCTGTTACTCTGTAGGTGTCCCAGTATGTGGGAAGAGCTCAAATACTCTTTCACTGGCCATGAAAAATCTTGGTGACCAGAAAGAAACTCTGACCATTTCTAGAAACGGATTAACCTCACACAGAGAACTGCCATGTTTGGTCTCATTCCTTGTCTTTCTGTGTGGTACAGAGAGAGGAGCAAAAGGCAAATACCTGTGAATGTAATAATAGGGGGATTCTGAATGCTGATGCCTACCCACCCTGGACTGGGACAGATATTAATGAGCTCATTTCTCTGGGAAACATGGTGTTTTACATAGAAACACGCAGCCTACGAGCACCAGCCCACCCCTGAGGTCCCCAGCTGACCTGTGGATGATGTGCCTGCTCTGGAGATAGTCGAGGGCCAGCACCAGCTCGCAGATGAAGAGCTTCACAGTGCCTTCTTGGAACCGCACATTCTGCTGGAGGTGGTATCGCAGGTCCCCTCCAAGCAGCAGGTCTACCACCATAAACATATCTTCTTCATCCTGGAATGAGTACCTAGAATGGTGTAAGCATGGTTCAAGTATATTGAAAAAAGACAGGTTATAATGAGACATATGGTACCCCTGGGAATACTCATCATTTCTTGGAACTTTTTCAATTGAGAAATAATAATTCCATGACCTTTCCATGCTCCATTTCCTGTTGCAACTAAGCTCGTACTGGCATACCTGAGATGACCATAATTTAGCTTCAGATCCATAGCAGTCAATAAAACCGTTGGCCCCACACAACAGGGGATGCAGCTGCTGCTCTCTGATATTCCTCTTTAAGTGACCTCACTTGATGCAACTCTTTACCAAGTGTCCCTCTGAGGCAGCAACCAGCTATGAGCTTTTTTCTCATGGATTTCCTCTCACAATGCACAAGCAA